GAAACAAACTGACAGGGACCAGAGGGGAGGAGAGAGGGGGATAAAGGAGGAAAGAAAGGGAAGGGCTAGTTAAAGAACACGTACAAAGGACCCACAGATGTGGACAACAGGGTGGGGACTGACTCTGTGAGCAGGGGGTGGGAGGGGCAGGGGAGAGCAAAAAAAGTTGGTGGGTTAGGGGGCAGGGGACTAGAACAACTGTAATAGAACAACAATAAAATAAATAAATAAATAACCACTCAGTGGTGAGTAAGGTACAAGCAGGCTCCAAAAGAGACTATTATTACTATTACTACTACTACTACTACTACTACTACTACTACTGCTGCTGCTACTACTATTAGAGAACCCTAGTTTGCCTACCCTGGAGGAAGCATGACTCAGTTTGTGCAACCTAACCTTCCCCAAAGGAACATTAAAGAGCACTAACACTCACCCACCATCCAACCAACACTTACTGAGCCCCAATTACGCGACAGCCCACTGTGAAGGTGCTGCAGTCCCTGTTAGCAGAAGAGACAAAAGGCAGTCAGAATGCAGTGAGGTGTTACAGGTGCAAGGACACAGTCCCTCCAGTGAGGCATGCTCAGTTCTTCTAGGACTTCCTCAGCCCTGTTGCTGAGCCTTGAAAGAGGAGCAGGTGGGAACTACGCAGAAAAGGGCAGATACCTGCAAAACAGAGCCACTGACACCTGGGCCTTCCGCACACACCCACCTCTCCACTGACCCCTCCCCCAGGGAGCCGTGGTAGAAAGGATGCCAGACCCAACATCATGGGATGAGTTTTGATCTCAGATCTGGGTCCAAGATGGGGACATTCGTCAGCACTGAGCCTGCAACTGCTTCCAAAGTGGTCACCGTGCTCCAGTCCCCTCTCCTCCGCTGCCTCTCCCCTGAGCCCTGCCCAGCTCAGGTCCCACAGTTCCTTCAGGGCTGCCTGGAACCCAGGCTGTCAGGGGCCCACCCTTTTCCCCATTCTCTCCCATGCTCACCTGGCAGCCCCTCAGGCTGGACATGGATAGCTCACAGTCCTCCCGGCCTGGCTCGCGGTCCTTCCCTGCCACCCACCCCTGGCCCTTCAGCTCCCAGAAGGCACGGAGCACAGCCCCCGCCCAGGCCCTGAGGAGATGGTGCTGGAACAGAAGGCCTCACAGGTGAGGCTGAATCAGGATTCCTGTCTGTGATTTGACCAGCGTGCCTGGCATTCGTGGCAGGGCCAAATGCAAGGTTTTCAGGTGATCGGCTCTCTCTAGTAACCAAAGCTGGGAGTAGGAAGCTACATTGTCACATCCCTAGGAATGGGCCACGTGCTACCAGCTTGGACACTCTTTGTAAGCTCAAAGGACACTTGAGACTACAGCGGCTGGGGCAGGGGGCACAACAGAGAGCGCTGGGGGAAGAGGGACTGCTGTCTCAGGCCGGCCGCTCCTAAGGGCATCCTGTCTGGCCAGGCATTCGGTCTGGCCTAAATTTTGTCAAAGAAGGACTGTGGGGCTATGGGGCCCTCTTGCTGCCTCAGCCCAGCTTCCCAGATAGTCTGGTCTCCAGAATTAACAAGGAAGGGGAAGGAAATAAACATGTATTGAGCACCTGGCCTGGGCAGGCACTTTGCTAAATACGCCTGTCTCATTTAATCCTCACCGTGACCTTGCAGGGTGAACAATATCATCTCCGTTTTACAGACACAGAAGCCCAGGCCAACAGGTGAGACAGGCCCATCTCCAATGTCAGACGCAAGAGGCCCCACAAGTCACTCGGGGTCAGTGGTGCTTCTCCTCGTGGAGGAAGAAACAAACCATGCAGTAGAAAAAAGGATTAAACAGGAAGTTCTGGCCAGATATCAGGACCATCCCGTGATGGCCCTGTCACCAGCCCCTGCCCCCAAACGGGGACACTTAATACACTGGACAAAGCTCCACACTCCAACTCTACTGCTGGGAGTCAAGTGGCAGCAGCGTTCGAGACACTGGGCCTGGCACCAACTGGTCCAGCCTCTACCCTCGCTGTGAAGCACACAGGGCCACTAACTGTTCAAAGAAAAGCTAGGCCGGGTTTCTCCTCTGGACACCAGAAAGCAGTGCAGAGGGTCCCACTGGGGAGAGAGGACAGAGCTGAACCCACATTCAGAGCATCCCCCTCTATCATACAGTTACCCTAAAAATTACAACAAATAATCTTTCTGCATAGAAGCCTCTTAACCTTTCAGGATATATGGTCAGCCCTATCACCTCATGATTCATCTCTGTCACCACTAACTGGAGGAGGTGAGGGGCAAGGGTTACTGGACAAATTAAAAAATAAGTCATGTATACTGCCAGGAGAGACCAGGACATCCCGTCCTGGTGTGTTCTCTGCACGGGACCACGAGTTCAACTACATTTGTTGTTCACAGCTTACATATAGTTATATATGGCCTAATTCCTTTGCTAAGAAACTCTGATCTCTAAGTGTAAACCACAATGATTGTCTCCATTGTCACCAAGTAACAGCAGCTGACATTTATGGAGCTCCTTTTACTTACAGCTGCTGTGCTCAGAGCTTTACCTATACTAGGTAGGTACTGTTATCCTCATTCTAAGAGAAGTGGAAGCACAGAGAGGTGAAGTAACTTTCAAAAGAGGCAACAGGATTCAAACCCATGCAACTAGGTGCTAGCGTTCAGCCTCTTGCCTAGTCATACTGACTCCCCAAAGTCCAGGAGGCCTTGCTCCCAAAGAAACCAGGTCTAATAGCAGAACCCAAGAATGGAGTCCCAGGCTGGGCGCCACTATCCATCCAGTCACGGGTGACAGATATAATGGATGTGGGTAATACTAGCTAACACTTACTGAGCACTTATTTCTTATCAGGCACAGAGTCCATCCAGTGCTGTATATGCATGATTTAATAAAGCTACAATTGTTTATATTTTACATGTTATGTAGAGCTATTATTTATATTTACATTTGTAATAGTTATTATTTAATAAATAATAAGACTATACAGTAGATGTTATCGTTATTATTATTATTATTACAATCCCCATTTTGCAGCCAGGGAAAGTGAAGCTTAGAAGGGTTAAGTAACGTGCCCAACATTCCACAGCTAGTAGAGCAGCCAAGATATAAACCCTGTCTTTCTGACAGTCTGGGTTTTTATCCATAATGTTGTGCTATTAGACAATAATGGTCCAGATAATAGTGCTTAATTTCACTTTTGGAGTCCTCAGCTATCCCTGCCTGTCTGCCTTTCCTCCCCAGAGGCCTGGACAGGCTGAGAACGGGGAATCCCTTCGCCGCCTGTGGCCCAGCGGCCCGCAGTGGGCCGCCAAGCATCCTTGCGCAGCTCCTCCTCTTCCTTTCCTCCTCTTTCACGGTAACTCACAGAGCCCTGAGAGGCAGGGGAGTTCACTACACACTCTGTGAGTACATAGGAAAACTCTCCCCTCCCCCCACTAAATTGGGGCCTGTATGTCCACAGCTGCACATGCATCCACAGCTGTATTTTTATCTTCAGACTCATCCTGCTGACTCAAGTTCCATTTTTCTGAGAACTTTTAGAATAACAGAGTCCTGGATCCATGACAGGGCTGGGGGGAGGAGATAAGGGAGGAATGAGGGAATGGGACCCACCCAACTAAACGGCCTGTGACCTTACATATTGTCCCAGTCTCTCCCTAGAAGTTGCTCTATGGGTTTCCTCAGGCTTCCCATCCAGCCTGCACCTCCTGGCCCCGGTCTTCCCCACCCCTATCAGCCAGCCTGTCCTGCCCCTCCCGCGGGGCAGGTGAATCCACACCAAGGCTGTCTTGGAAGGGAGACCCGCCAAGTGCATCAGGAGAAGCAGCCTGAAGCCCCCCCAGGGCCTCACCCCCACCCCTAAGCAATGCTTCCAGGAGTCCAGCAAGGGTCACTCTGGGCCCTGGTCCACTGGCTGTGCCCAGCTGCAAACTCCAGAGCAGCAAGACAGAAGCAGGGCTATTCTTAGTCCCTGCTCCACTGGGACCAGGTGTGTGTAACAGCTGAAGGGCAAGTCCTCACCAGGTAGCCACCCTGCCAAACCTCTCCCTACCCCCAACTCTGGCCTCTTGAGAAAAGAGGAAGCACAGGGGAGTGGCGCTGGGTAGAAGGAAAAGCTGAGCAGATCAGGAGTGTCCGTCAGGAAGATGGAGGCTGAGTCAGAAGTCAAGGGCAAGAGCAACTCAGAGGGCTCCAGGAGGCTATGGGAAGGGCTGACCCTCATTCTGGAGAAAGCCTGCAGGTCCCTGAGGTACCACCCCATCACACCTGTTTGCTGATCTCAGAATCCTCACCATCTCTACCTGAACCCTGGCAGGCAGATGAGAGCGCTCAGCTTCTCCGATCCCTCCTTCCCCGAGGGGTAACCGAGACTGAGAAAGGGGCAGAGGACCCCACGCGCGCACGCGCGCGCGCGTACACACACACACACACACGCACGCACACACACGCACGCACACACACGCTCCAGTCTCAGCTCCCTGCCCAGAGCCTGGCCCCAAAACAAACGTCCCAAAGGGTTCAGTCACCTTTCCCGCGGCGTCCGGGCCGCCGGCCCCTTTCCAGGCTCCCAAGTCCGGGACTGTGGGCGCCGCGGTGACTCATCGTGCCCCTTTCCGGTGAAGCCGAGACAAGGGAAGAAAATACATGCAACTTTCCAAAGAAAACTCTGAGGCGGGAGGTGCAACAGGAGCTAGCGCCGGTCCACCGCCGCTGCCTAACCCCGCTGCCTGACCGGGACAGCCGGGCCCCGGCGCCTCCAGCCCAGCCCGCCTCCCTCCAAGAAAGAACAGCCCCGCGGGGATCCGGGAGCGCGCCCCACACTCTGCAGCCGGGACGCCCGGCCATCTCCACTGGGACTCGAGGGGCCGCGGCGCCCAGACGGCCACCGGGCGGTCCCAGCCCGCGGGGCGCGAAGCTCACGACATCGCGGGGCCGGGCCGCCCCCGTCCCCTCCCCGCGCCGGGACCCTGTCGCCTGGAAGAGGAGGGGGTGCGCTCCTACCTGGCTGAGAAGAGCGGCTGTCACCAGGGCCAGCGTGGTGGAGCTGGCCTCCTTCTGCCCCCACGCGCGCCAGCCGGCGGCTTTTAAATCTCCAGGTTACTCGGCTGGGGAAGAGAGCATGCGCGCTGGGGCTGCCAGGAGGGGGCGGGGCGAGGCGGGCCGGAGGGGGTCCCGTGGGGTGGGGGTGGTCCCCCAGCGACGAGAGCGCGAGGTCTCCAAGCTGTCTTTGTAGCCGCGACCGCGACGGGCAGCCCCCGCGTGGCTCCGAGACTGCCCTATCATTACCTAAGGCAGCGCACCGCCCCCTCGCCGCTCGCCACCCAAACAGTTAGGTAAAAGCGACCCGGCTCCGCGGGGCACCATCTCGGGAGCCAGTCTGTGACCCTGACCCGCACGTGCTCTCTGGCCCTGCCCCTGTCCCCAGGCAGAACGGCACCCCACTCACCCAGGACTAGCCCTTGAAAGGAGATGTCACATTCTCCTCGAGTTACTCTTCCTACTCTTTGCTGTTCTCTGAGGCAGAAAGAAATTCCTTATAGTTAACTCAATCCCTCTTCCAGAAGTTCCATTTTTTCCTTCTTCTTAGGGTGCATATGGGGGCGAGGGGTTGATACTTGCCAGTAAAATGTTCTCTTTGTCAGCCGTTGAACAAGGAAGGTCCCAACAGATACCTGTTTCCAGAATGCCTTCGACGGGAGTGAGACAGTGCAGGTGGGAGGCAGAGAGCTGGAGGCCCAGGCTTCTTCCCTGAGTTTTATCAGGATGAATAAATCCAGTCGCTGTGGATTGTTGACTTGAATACTACAAAATCACAGGGAGACTCCTTTCAAGGGAGGACCTCATGGGCTGTGGTCCTGACTGGGCCCTGGGGGCCCTGGGTCCCAGGGCTGGCCCTGCCGCCAACCAGGTGTGATGAGGAGGAGGTCCCTTCCTTACTCTGGGCCTCTGTAAAAAGGATTGGCCAGGTAATCTCTCAGGGCACCTCCACCTGGGAGGCAAAGAAGAGAGGGAAACAGAGAAGAGGTGGGAACAATGGAGCCCTGGTGGCCTGGGGGGCACAGACTGGCGGCAGAAGAGAGCGGAGAAGAGGAGAATCAAGGATCTACCTTTCGAGTCACTAAACAAGTTTAGCTTGAAACCTGGGAAGCACTTACCCATGCAGCAGGGGAACTTCCACGTTCCCAGTGGCTTTCCAAAGCCTTTGGTGTACCCATTTGTGGCCAAAAGAGAGATCAGGGTGGAGTCTTGGGTCCCTGAGCTGGTGTCCCCACTGCCCCAGAAAAGAGGGCAAAAGTGAGGGGTAATTCCAGGTCAGCTGGAAAATTACAGAGCCAGGAGAGAGCAGACATGGTATTTTCCAGGCCTGGGGAGAGAATGCAGGAAGCAGGAGGGAGTCATCCTGCCTCAGAGCAGTGAAGTCCCCCTCACTCCTCCCTGATTTTTTGCCAGAGGCCTGCATGTCTTACTCCTTGTAAGCAAGGTGTGAAATCCTGGACCCCACCCAGTGGGCTGGCCACCGGGGTAAGGGCCAGGTCACACTGCCCCAGCGCAGGTGACCCTTCTCTACCAAGCCAGGTGGATGCATCCTCCAGGCCCCGCCCTGCACAGGGTGCTGTGAAACTGCTTCCCTTTTTTCTGCTGGCTAAGCCTCCTCATGTAATAATAATAATTGTTAACTATTGCTGACTGTGCCAGGTATGGCTCTAAATGCTTTTTATGTATTTACTCATTTATTCCTTATGACATTCAAGAGATGGGTACCATTTTCAGATAAACCGAGGCAATCCCTCAGTCCAACCCCTATTTCCCGCCCCAGATAAACACAGTCTCTGGGCTTCAGAAACAAGGCAGAGGCAGCAATCCCTCATTTAGCTGACCAAGGACTTCAGAGCCCTGGAAAAAGTCCTAACACCCTTGCTGCTCCTCACAAAACTGGGTCATTCTGGGCAACTGCTTCTGTGGGTCTCAGTTCCCCACTAAGTCAATGGTGCCACCATGGCATTTTCCCTTCCTCTTCTCTCCCTCCCTCACCACACATACACACACACAACACACACACACTCCCTACTCCCTAGCCACTTCCCATTTATAGGAAATGGGGGATGATGTGAGGAGCAAGGCCATCCTTGGGGACCTGCTAATAGTCTGGCTGAATATTGGAGAAACCAAAGACGCTGGCAAAAATGCATTAGCAGCTTCTGTTCTACCCTCCCCCCACAGCCCCTTCCCATTATACTTGGGCTCAGAGCAAGCATTGTTCTCTTCCTATAGAGTGAGATACCTAGCTGGGGCTGGTTCGCCTGGAAGAAGCCTGCAAAGCCGTGAAGAACCTGGAGTTTCCTTTATGTTCCCCTCTCTTGCCATCTCCCCCATACAAAGGCTCTGGTCCCCTTTGGGGGCTGCTTCCCCTGCCTACCTTAGGGTCAGGGGCGAACAGTCTTTTAAGTATAAAGGACGCCAGCAGGGCCAGACCTGAGCTATAGACTTGAATGGAGGAGGGATGGGTCCCCTGGACAAAATAATTCCATTTCTGGGGTTTCACTTGTGGCAAAATAATCAGATATATATGTCAAAGTTATGTACATAATGTTTATCTCATCGTTCATAATAGGGAAAAATTAGAAACAATTTAGATGTAGAATAATAAGCTATTGGCTAAGCAAATTATGGCAAATCCATATAATAGAACATTATGCTGCCATTTAAAAGTGGTGATGACAGAAGAATTTTAATTGACTGGGAAAATGTTTGTGATACATTAGCGGTGAAAACAGCCTGCTACAAAATGGTACTCACAGTAGGAGATACATTTTTTTTTTAAGGTAGGCATACACTAATGCAACGTGGTCTCTGGGACTGGATCTTGGAAGAGAAAAAAGACATGAGTGGAAAACTGGTGGAAACTGAATAAGGTCTGTAGTTTAGTAAATAGTCCTCCACCAATATTAATTTCTTGGTTTTGATCATTGTATTTTGGTTATGTTAACATCAGGTGGAGGGGGGGCCTTTCTATATGGATTATAAATTGCTTTTGTAAGTAGAAAAGAATCAATAAATATTATTTTTAAAAGAAAAGAATAAAGGAAAACAAAGGCACAAAGAGGAATGACAGCCCACACTGGGCTGCCCCTAGTGTGGACCGCTGCGCCCATTTCTGTTCAGAGGGCTGGGGCGGGGAGAGCAGGGCCTGAGCGGGAGAACCCCACCACCTCGAGGCCTCCTTAGCAGAGAGGTTTGGAACGGTTTGGGTGCGGAAATAAGATGGGGCAGGATTGAGAAGGTGAAAGAGGACCTGGAGGGCTATACATGTACACCTGGCTATATTTCTGCCATCACCCGACGCTCCATGGGCACAGAAGAGAACTGAACCCACTGAAAGAAGGACGGTACAGCCGCACCTTCCCTTTCAAATGCAAGCTTGGGAAGCCCATGGCCGCTAGCTCCTGAGGTCACCAGTGCTTCCCCTGTCATTTCTAGGAGGCTGAACCTTAGAATTGCTGATGAGCCCCGACCCGTGTGGCTCAGGTGGCTGGGCATCGTCTGACAAAGTGAGAGGGTGCCAGTTCGATTCCCAGTCAGGGCACATGCCTGAATTGTGGGTTTAGTCCCTAGTCGGTGCACGTGGGAAAGGCAACCAATAAATGTCTCACATTGATGTTTGTCTCCCTCCCTTCCCCTCTCTCTACCAATAAATAAATAAAATCTTTTAAAAAATTGCTGGTGAATATAGGCCCCCATCCTGCACCTGGGGATAGTCCAGTCTGAGTGGTGACCCATACAGAGAAGTTTGTGGGAGTTTCTAAAACAACAGACACCTTCAAGGGTATATCCTTCAGGAAACTTCCCTGTCACTGGGAAAAATAGAAATCCTTCGACAGAACTTTCCTCTGGACTTAAACTTCCTTCTGAGTCCTCCTCCTGGGTCCCCACCCAGGTTGGTGGGGAATCAGGAGAGATCAAAACTTCCCCCCAAAGCAGAGCCTTCTGGCTGGTACCTCAGTTGGTCAGAGCATCATCCTGATACGCCAAGGTTGTGGGTTCAATCCCCAGTCAGCACACATACAAAAATAAACTGCAAAAATAAAATTTAAAAACAAAATAAAAAAAAAACAACTTCTTCCAAAGTAGAGGGATCTGGCTGAGCAGAGAGCTGGGGTCGCTACTCATGAAAAGATGTTGGCTTTTTTTAAAAAATATATTTTATTTATTTTTAGAGAGAGGGGAAGGAAGGGAAAGAGGGAAAGAAACATCGATGTGAGAGAGAAACATCAATCAGTTGCCTCTTGAACGCACCAGGGATGGAGCCTGCAGCTGAGGCATGTGTCCTGACCAAGAGTTGAACTGGTGACCTTTTGCTTTGCAGGACGATGACCCAACCCGCTGAACCACGCTGGTCTGGGCAAGATGTTGGCTTTTCAATGGGCAACATCACAGTCAAGGGAGAATGGGAATGGCTTCAGAGGGCCAACCTAGACCAGAGAAGAGAGTCCCGGGGAGTCAGATCATAGGTGAGCTCACTAAAGGACAGGTTTGAAGCAGCGTTAAACAGGTGAAGCATGAGGGATGGGCAGCTTTGCAGGGCTCTCAGGTTCCAGGTGAGGGGTGAGCCTGGATGAGCACAACAGTCCTTTCCAGCTCTGAGAGCCAATGGGACCCACTCCACTCTCCATGTAAAGGCCAGAACTGTCTGTTAGCCTCCCCTGTTTGGGGGGCATGAGCAGAATGCTCCAAGTCAAGGAAGCCTAGTTCAAAGCCAAGGGTGGGAGGTGCTCAGTTTTAGAAACCGAATTAACAGGACGGATTGGGACTGGGGTTAGATACTTGATGGGACTTGTTCCGGGCAGTGAGGCAGAGGCAAAAATAGTAATGCTGTCTCCTTTCCTTTAAGGTTTCGGGAGTGAACCAGACAATCTCCCTCCAAGTCTCTAAATGGTAAAGACACTTAGTTAACTGGGCTGGGCTGTGAAACGCCTGGAGCAAGGAGGTGATTGTGTCGCTGTGAATACCTGGAAATCTACTCTGGAGCTCAGATGCCTGAGGGGCTACTCTGGGTGGGTTGGAAAATGGGGAGGGACAGCCAGAGGCG